GCCATTTTGTTGTGTCGCGGCCGATGTCTGATTTCTTCTCTCCTCTCCTCACAGACCTCCCGGGCCTCGCGCTGGGCCGACCCCGACCACTTTGCCCAGCGGCAGAGCTGCATGAACACTTTCGCCAGCTGGTTTGGCTATATGCCGCTGATCCACTCTCAGATGAGGCTCGACCCTGTCCTCTTTAAAGACCAGGTCTCCATCCTGAGGAAGAAGTACCGAGACATTGAACGACTCTGAGGAGCGCTGCTGAGGGGGCCGAGCTGCCCCCGCCGCCGGTGTGTGGAGCCAGACTGTGTTGCCGACAGCAAGCGCCCGAGCCCGGCCGGCGGCCGCCCGGCACCAGGGCAGGCTGCTCCGGATTGCACCCAGCCGCCCGGTAGCCCTCTGTCGCTCAAGACTAGGTCGTGTACAGTTTCATTATGGAACATTAAATAATTATTTTTGAAATGATTGCTATGCAGGTTTAAACTTTTTTAATGATCAAAAAAAAAAAAACCTATTAAAAACAGAGTTCTTTCTTTAATCAAAATTGTGTTGGTTGTGAATATTTCAAAAGCTGCCGTTTCTTTCTTTCATGCATTTGATTGTCATTGCAATTTTCATTCATTTTCCCCTGCAAAGTTAAATGCTTGAATCTCACGGGGAGAAAATGCAGCAGGTTCAGAAACAAATTGAGCACAAGCAGGACAGAACTGAAGTATTAGTGTTTCTCATTTACTGCTGACTTTTTAATAATTTTTTTTCCTCAGTTTTCCCCAAGCTGGGAGCGGCCGCTATGGCAAAACCCCTTTGGATGGATGGAAAACTGGAGATCTCCCAATGAGCCAAACGAGAGCGTAGATCCTCCTGGTTGGGGACCCCCTTTTTAGAGGCAATCTGCCTTGCCTTGAAGGGGAGAGGAAGAGTGGTGCTGGGGAGCAAAGGGCTGGCGTGGAGCTCGGGGAGGGCTCCACACACCGCGGGGTGCGGTGCCGGTTGTGTATTCGGGTAGGAGAGGAGCATCCCCGGGGGTGAGCACCCCAGGGGCGGTCAGCACGGCCAGCGTGGGGGACACACAGCCTGCCTGAGTCCCTGCTGCCCGAGGGCACTGGTGCCGCTTGGCCGTGCCTGCTAAATTTCTAGAAACAGCTTTGTTCTGAGGGCAAAAGGGGTGTTGGCAAAAAAAGAGAAAGCATGTTAGTGCTCGCAACGCAGGAATTTGGCCTGTAACGAATTGGTTTATATGAAATCAAAGCATGGGCTTTTCCTTTTTTTCTTTCTTTTAAGTGCAAATAGGTGGAGAAATTCCCCCCTGGAGGTCTGACCCCTGAAGTAAAGTGTGTGGTCAGACATTGGGCGCTGGCGGCAGCGGGTGCTCCCAGGCGTACTTGAGGCAGGGTAACTCTGACAAAAACCTGCCCCTGAAATACCAGCCTTGCTCACACTCCCAAATGGTTTTATCATTTCAAATGGAAGTATTTTTAAATGGAAATATTCCAGTTGTTTATTTCTCTTTAGTGCTTTGCTTATTTATGTGTTTCTTTCTATTGAAGAATGAAAACAAAAGCAGTGATTTGGGTCAGGAAGATGGCATTCCGATTTGCTAAGAAAATAAGCACTTTAAAAACGTTTTGAACTCTCACATTTTGATGAGGTGCGTTTAGGGTGCTCTGTAACGATCGCCACCCCCAAGAGCTCTGTTAAAGTCACAGCGGGATTGTTTAGTTCCAATGCCCAAAAGACCAGCAAGCCTTTCTATACCTCATTCCTGTGTAAACAGATGGTCAGGTAGGGGTGAAGAGTAGCTGGAGTGATAGGGAGGGTGGACCAGGATCATCACCAGTTTCATTCAGGCTCAGGCACTGATTTATTGCGCAGCTTTAAGCAACTCCCATAACCGAGGCATGCCTCAGTTTCCTCCTTTGTAAAAGTAATAGTTACTGGTTATAGAGGGAATGCTGTGAAGCCTAAATAATTTCTCTTGCTGGTAAGATCGGAATCCCTAAACAGAAAGTTGCTTTAAAAGTGCAAAGTACATATTGCTAAATGCTTGTATGCAACCTGACATGTAAAGACTTGCAAAGAGTGCTTTGCCTCGCGTATGTATTGCAATATTTGAACAGAGCACAGAGAAGTAGGGAAGGAACATCAAGTTCCTCACATTTTGTGTTAAATTTGAACCAAATCTTTAAAGGAATCTGCCAAAACACGTGTGAGACTGCAGCTAGTGACTTATGCTGCTGAAAGGAAGCGGTGCCACTTGTCCCCCGACTCCCGTGGCTCTCCCAGCCCCTGGCCACGCAGTCTCGCCTCATGCCTTCTGCCACCCTGGTGCCCACCGGGTGCTTCTGTGAGCCCATTCAACTCTAAAATCGCAGAAAACTGTCTGGTGATTTATTGGATTATTTTAATGCCATTTTAGAGAGTTAAATCAGCATGTGGAGAGATGTGTAAGGAGACAAGAGTAGGTAGGCAGGGCCAGGGAGGGATGGGGAGCAGGTTACGCTCCCGTCTCTGTAGGGTGCTGCTAATTCAGCTCCCCACATCCTGTAAAAACCTGAACCTCACTTCCCTGTGCTCTCAGGTCTGCGCTTGCTGATCTGCGGGGGAAGGTGAAGTCCTGTGGTGTGATTTTCCAGGGTGAACGGCTCAGCGGCTCCCATGCCACTTTTTCCTCTTGGAGATAAGGCAGCTCTTTCAGGGACTGGAACCGTCTTTCAGGGCCATCTCCTTAGACTCAGTTTTTGGAGAATGTGTCAAACACCGGATGAGGTTGGCAGGGCTCGCACTTTGCTCATGTCCCCGCATGCAGGCGGGCGTGTGGATGTGTCCACAGGCGCATCAGCAGCTCTGGGAAGCAGTTAGTGGTCTGTAGCCAGCAAGAGGGGCCAGGGAGAGGGAGAGGGCAAGAGGGGACCCTACAAAACCAAGAATTACAATTCTGCTTGGGTTTTAGTTAATGTCATTTTGGGGCACGTGGGTTGGGTTTTTAGTAAAAAAAGGGAGTAGCTAACCATTTTTGGAGTGCAGCAAGTCAAGCCAAGCTTTTAAGCTGTTTGACATTCTGTTACCGTCACTTTTTGGGGTGGCTGAAAGAGCCTGTGCTAAAGCTCACTCTCAATGTGATTTGAGGCCCTTTCTGTTTACAGATCGCTGATTAAACAAGCAACAATGAAAGGCTTAGCTCCAGACGGGATGCGGATAGGTAGGAGAGTCTCTCTTTGCAGCACGTTACCCGGGCATAGCCGTCCCTCTAGGAAAGAATGTGCCTCGCGGCCAGTCTCGAGAACGGCCGTCGGTCTCCGTGTCCACGGCCCGGGGAGCCGGGGGATGAGCTGGACACAGGTCCAGCTTAGAGACTCCGTTTGTTCCGCTCAGTGTGGACGTTATCGGCCAACGCTGCTACGGACAGGAGGCATGCTTCCCAGCCTCCCGTGTGCATCTGTGTTGGACAGAGCTGTGCTGTTTCCTTAGTGAATGAAATCACCCTTTTATCACCTCCTACCTGCGAGTTAATGGTTCTCCTTAATTCAGATGGTGCTGAAACAAGGTTCGCTCCTTGTTGCTCCTTTTGTAGTTTTTTTTTTTAATTATTTTTCTTTAACAGCAGGCTATGTTAGCCTTTACTTTACAGGTACTTGAATGCCTGATGACTTGACTGAGTGTTACGCATGTGGCCTTTCGTAAAGGTTACTGACCTTAATTTAATCAGGGGTGAGATGGATGGATGAATGTGAATAGATCCATGCCATTAAAACAGAATAAGAGTAGGGATTAGAGTTTGGGAGAACTGATGAATTTTTAATTGAATTTATTAAAGAAAAAAAAAAAAGAAAGAGAGAAAGAAACCCTTCCCAGTTATAATTTGAATGAGATCTATTGCTGGAGGAGGGTTTCATAATGAGAAAAAAGCGACACAAAAATAAGGGCAACCTTCCAAGATAGAAAGTGCCTGGCTCTCCTTGCAGTCCCTTGGGCCTGTACAACATTTTATTTGCCCTCTTTCTATTTTGTGAAAAACTCTAATTATTACCATCACTTTTCCTAGATGTGAATGTTTAAGCTTTGTAACAATTTCATAGTGGACACACTGGTGTGCTAATGCATGGCTATCGAGCGCTTTGATCTTTTCCATCGGCAAACATCGTGGATTTGATCAATTTCAGATTGCAATTTCTTTTTTTGAGCCAACTTTGACAAAGAAATTAATCTTTCACCAATGAGCGCCTTTTAAAATAGCTCATTTACCAAAAGATGTCATTTGGAGAATGGAAGTAATCATTTGACACTGAAGCAACGGAAGAAACAGCTAGAAGTAGACTTGGATGTTTTTTAAAACTTTTACATTCCCAGTGTGAAATGCGGTGTCCTCCTCTTTCTCTCTCCCCCCATATCGAAATTAAAAGGCTACTCGGTGTTTGTCGTAACATCTGTATTATCTCACAACAGTTTAAATAATTCCTCCAGCTAAACATCCTCTTAAGGCACGGGGTGGATTGGTGGTTTGCTCTTTTTTTCCAGGCTGGCTCTGCTGCCTGTGGCAGAAATGTGGCCTTCAAGGGCGTCAGCCTGATAGAGCGGGTGCCCTGGGCTCCAGCGGGATTTCACGGGGATGGCCTGGGGTCTTCCGAGAAGGGACCTGCCCCACGCAGGCTCTGAGCTGGTGTCTGCTGGAAACGAAACTGCATCTTCCAAAATTTTGTACATCTCACCCTTGTTTAAAACTAAGTCAAGCTGGCCTTTATACCACTATTTTAACCATCTTCACACATGTTTTTTAAGTTGGAATAACATTTGGGGGAGTTAGATTAGGGGGGGTTACGGGACTCATCAGATGCTTTTGGATGCTCCCTCCCACCCTTTCATGATGTTTTTAGTGACGATTTCACAGTGGATTAGTGATGATCCAATGGGCCTTGCGACCTTGTACATAATCCTGTATATTTATTTTGAGAGAAAATATGTATAGTGTTTGGATGATGAGAATGGAAACCTGAAATGGGAATTCTTAGGTGGGCAAATGTAAAGCAAAAAAGCAAACAAAAAATACAATCTTATTTTGTATAAAATGTACATTTTTGAGAAAAATTTTCTAATGCATTACCAATGTTTTCATAGTGCTGCCACATCTTTTTTAAAGTGTTTCTCCCTCTTTGTTTGATTATTGACAACATGGTGCAATTAAACCTAAAGCAAGTGTGTGAGTGAGAGAAAAAGAGAGAATGAGAAATTAAAAAGCCATATAATTTGGTTTACTTCATTAACCTGTATAACATCATAGGTTCACCATCTAAGATAGGTTGTTTTTATAGATAGTGTCACCAAAGACTTTTTTTCTTCAGATTTATTTTGAAAAGTTGTTAATAAAGGACGTACATTTCCGTTGCAGTGTGTTTTTCTTTTTAAGCTAGAGTACCAAATCTTGCCTGCGCTCTTGAGAATGCAAATTTGGGAGCGTGATTGCCATGTGTCTCAAGTTCAGGGCAGTTAAACGAATGGCTTTTTATCTGCTTTCTCCTTAACCTGAACTGAGCAATGGCTGTATGTATA